TGCCTAAATGGAAGTCGTTTGGCGCAGTTCAAACAATTATAATATGTGATAATATCTACACTACGGAAATTAGAGCATCTTACTTCAGTATTTCTAAGCTGGTCTCCTGCTTCTTGGACTACGTCGGGGGATAATTTAGGCAGGTTTTCAGTGACTTTTTGGAAATTTGATGAAGTGGTMGATGACAGGAACTTTKGGCCAAAATACTGCTTCACAACCATATTTTGGATCTTGTAGAATTCTCCGTCTTGAACAAGTTGAATATGTTCATTCCAAATGGTTATGGGGATGCTGCCAGTTTCATCAATGAGACAGCCTTCTAACTTTGTGAGATTTTTCTTATTTGGGATTGGCTGCGGTTTGTTATCCCCAAACWTCAYGAGCCCTGTCGCGCAAACYGTTTCGAAAACTTTGATGGCGTTAACATCTTTAGTTGTGACGACTGGTGGTGCTTGATCTGTATTAACTTGATCTTGAGAGAAATCTACCATCGTCTCGGGTGCCTCGTCAACATTGGTATGATAGTTTATCCATACGACGTTATCTTCTTTGGGATCGCGGTTGAATTTAGTAATCTTACAAGGCGTGCCGCTTTCCGCCTTTTTCGCTATATCGGACTTGTGCTTTGTTGGCGAAAAGGTGGTTTTTTGGCGAAAAGCACAGGGATTTCGTCTTAGTTTGCTTTTCTTGTATCGTGAAGGAAAAGTACTCTGAACCTTTGGCTGAATATTTTGTTGGGCCGATATTTTTCACGTAGCCAAGAATGGTTGGTTGAACTGACGAGACAGAGGACGCGGACGGCGTAAATGAAGATTGGAATGAATAGGCACCTGAGTTAAAAGTAAAAACAATAACCTCAGTTTAAACTAGCAAAAGAAGTTTTAATAGGTAGTACTAGTACAGAGTTAACAGAAGGAAGCTAACCTTTATTTGGCGACATGGTTACAGAAGGTGAGGACTGCGGTGTGGACGATATGGAAGGCTGAAGTGCGTTCTCTGATGTTTTAGTAGAGTTTACTCC